AGACCTGCATTTTTTAAAAGTTCCACAGGCACTAAAAGTGGAGGCCCCCGTGTGAGGTGTTCGATATGTGGCCAGCAAATATTTCCTCAGCACCTGCTATGAGCCAGGCACTGTTCTAGTCCCTCTTTTCCTGGGGCTTATATTCTAAAGGATGGGACAGACAAAAACAGACAAACAAGAAAAGTATTAAAGACGTATGTGGAACGCGGAGAACTAAAACAGGGTGACCTAGAGGAACTAGGCTGGCTGGGAGCGTGGAGAAGGCTACCAGAGCAGGTGCAAATTAAACTGAGACTGCGATGACCAGGAGCTCACCATGCAAGGGTGGGTGGCGGGGGGAGGCCTCCCGGGCTCAGGAAAGAGTTTTTGTGCACACCCAAGGCAGGAGGGAGCCGGGCTGGCTGGAGGGGAGTGGGCTTGAGGGCCACGAAGGAGGAAGCCTGGGCCCTATCAGCAGGGATCCGGAAGCCAGGGTCAAGGGTATGGATTTTATATCGAGGACTCTAGAAAGCCACGGAGGGTTTCAAGCCAGAGAGTCATGTGATATCGTGTTTTTAAAAGGATCATTTTGGCTGTCATGTGGAGACTGGATGAACAGGAGACAGGAAGACGGCTGAGTCTGCTGCAGAAACACAGGAAAGCAATAAAGGTGGTTTGGATGGAGGTGCAGAGCTAAGAAGATGGACACAGGACAGTTTTGGAGGTGGGGTCCCCGGGACTCGGTTCCTACCCGTGTCTGGTATGGAGGGTGAGACAGGAAGGTGATGGCCAGACTGTCTGCTTGAGCACCAGGTGCTTGGGCCCAAGGAGGCTTTGATGAGATGGGAAAGACCCTATAGAAAAGAGACTGCACAAATGTAAGCTGTCTGTTGAGAATATTGACTTAGGACATGAGGCCAATGCAAAAAAAAAGTCTAAATATTACCATTTCAGTCTGTCCCTTAAGCTCTTGAAAATAAGGAAAGTCTAACTGGCTGCCAGTTGCTTGAGCTGGGAAGAGCACCAGCAAAGTGTGCTCTGGAAAAATGAATGGGCTGAGATCCAGGGAATAGTGGGGCCGTGGGGCCCAGAGAGACCTGGGCAGGGCCCGGGATGCAAGTGCCTTTATACTAAATTTAACCTCCGAAGAATTATTTCATGGATTTCACAATGTTGCCTCAGGCTGGCCCTTACCCCATGCACGCAGCACCTAATGTGGCTGCTGACATTCCTTCCTCCCTGCTGGCTGGCCTTCTTGTTTGTATATATTTATTGTGTACATTTTTCACGGTTTCGCTTTCTGTGGTTTCAGTTACCTTTGCCTCAGGCTGGCCCTTACCCCATGCACGCAGCACCTAATGTGGCTGCTGACATTCCTTCCCCCCTGCTGGCTGGCCTTCTTGTTTGTATATATTTATTGTGTACATTTTTCACGGTTTCGCTTTCTGTGGTTTCAGTTACCTTCAGTCAACCACCGGCCCAAAACATTGAGTGGAAAATTCCAGAAACAAACAATTCACGTGTTTGTTTATCTAGGTACATGATCATATTGTCTGCAAATAATAATTTTGCCCCCTTCAGGCTCATTTCTTTATCTTGCTTAATGGCATAGGCTAATATTCCAGAAGACTATTTAATCCAGACACTCTGAAAATTCATAAGTTTTAAGTGCTATGTCACAATGCCTATGTCATTCACTTCACTTCTTCTCATCAAGAAGCCGTTTCATCATCTCACATAATCACAAGAACAATGAGTACAGTACAACAAAATTTTGTTTGTTTGTTTGGCAACTGGCCAGTACAAGGAACCAAATCTTTGAACTTGGTCCTAGAAGGCCACGCTCTAACCAACTGAACTAACTGGCTAGCCAAGTACAATAAAATATTTTGAGAGAGAGACCACATGCACATAACTTTTATTTCAGTATACTGTCATAATTATTCTGTTTTATTTTTAGTTATTGTTGTCAATCTCTTGCTGTGCCTAATTTATAAATTGAACTATATCATAAGTATGTACATATAGAAAAAATACATATATTTCAAAATAAGAGCCAAAATGATATACAACAGGGGGCCCACCCAGGGTCCTGAGGCTTGGATCCGGGGACCAATCCCTCTCCCGCAACCAGGCAAGGAGCATGCCAAAAACACCACTTCCATGTGGGTGTCCCACCACAGCCACCACAATAGCCATGGCTGCCATGAAAGCAGCTAGAGACCACGACCACCATGCAGATGGTCCACCTGCCACTTGAGTGCATTGATACAAGGAGAGTTACCAGCAGAGACCAAAGTAAAGAGGAGGATGTCTCTCTCCACAAAGCCCGTTCCAGAATGACAGAAGAATCATCTGCTCTATGATAATAGTGGGGGACCTGAACACGCTTCTCTCAGCATTGGACAGATAATCTAGGCAACAATTCAACAGAGTAACCATTACTCTCTCAGAAGGAGAGAAGAAATCTAGGGTTATCAGAGGTGAGAGGGGGAAGGGAGACAGGAGAGACTGGATAAGGGGCATAAAGAATAAGTACGATTTGTAATAATACATATGCTAGTAATATTGATTTGATCAACATGTCAACATTGACCCCCCAAAAATGTATAATCAATTATGATTCAATAAATATATTTTTTTAAAAAGACATATTATGGAAAGATACTAGAAATATTCAAATTAAAGTCAGGAACAGGATTAAGATGTCCACTACCATCACTAACAAATTAAAATATTCTTCTGGAATATTTGATTACGCAATTAAGCAAGATAAAGAAATGAGGCCAAAGGGGGCAAAATTATTATTTGCAGACAATATAATCACATACCTAGAAACCCTTAGAAAATAAACTGAAAAACCATTAGAAATAATAAGGGAATTCAATAACTTGGCTGGTCACAAAATTAATACATGAAAATCCCTATGTACAAACAATAAGCATTTAGAAAATGCAATGAAAAAAAGGTCTCACTTATAATAGCAACAAAACAAAAAATAAAATACTTAGGAAAAAACTGTGTAGGACCTTTATAGAATAAAACATTAATGCTCCACTAGAGGAACAAGTAAGAATTAAGTCAATGGAAGATGAACGGTGTTCGTGGAAACAAACAAAATTACAAGAACATTAATACCCCTAATTTCAGTGCAATCCTGAATAAATTCTCAACAAGAATTGTGCACCAACTATGTGCCAGGGTCTGCTCTAGATGCTTGGAATGCATCTTATAAAAAAAGTCTGTGCTCAGTAGGTATATCTCAAAATAAGGTCTTCAAGATTTGTAAATATTTGGAGCCAGCCTGTGGCTCACTTGGGAGAGTGTGGGGCTGATAACACCAAGGCCACAGGTTCGGATCCCTATATAGAGACGACCGGTTAGCTCACTGGGTGAGCGCGGTGCTGACAACACCAAGTCAAAGGTTAAGATCCCCTTACAGGTCATCTTTTAAAAAAAAGAAAATGTCAAGTCTACTGCGGTACCTGCTGTGAAGAAGGGGAGGGAGCACGTGTTTGTGTTAGAAGATGGTAAATCAGCAGATCTGAAGGCAGCGGGGATTGGAGGGTGCAGGGAAGAGAGTCTGGGGGAGCTGGGTAGAAAGAGGAGATGTTAATGGGGGTGAATGAGAGGATGAGGGGTGGAAAAGGCTTGAAATAGCCATTACGGAGGACAGGAAATCAAACACACACAGTGGGACTGCCACACAGCTCTGAGGAATCTGGAAAGCACACAGAGTCAACAGGCACTCCGTTGCTGTATGCTCACTGAAACCGACGAAATGTCGCACAGATGATCTCAATCTGATCTTCCTGCACTAACAGAAAAATCTGGATACTTCTTTGAAATTCTATTTCACTTCTCTTTAGAATGCCCTTACAAGAACCGGATCTCGCATCACCGAGCAGATGTCCACACTCAGATATGTAATCTTTGATCAGTCAACCCTCAGTCAACTGCAAGGAACCACGTGGGTAAAGAAAAAGCCACCAGCTATCCTACAAGACAGGCAATGCACTCAGGGGCAAGTGACAGTCAACAATGTACCACAGAAACCCATGACGTACAGTCAGCTGAGTGCCCAAGCGCCTGCGAAATGCAGTATTTCAACCAGCACTGCAAAACAGGCTAAGATACTGTGAAGGACTCAAACATTTGAAAAAAGAGGGTGCGGCTTGTTAAAGATAAAATCATTTGGTTTCTCAAATGTGCATGAATTACAGTGTAAACACAGTGTACATTAACAAAGGTAGCATGGGGGAAAAAAATCAAAAAATAAAGGGAAAGCTCTTGTAAGCAAAAGCTGCCTTCCAGCTACATGGAAAAACACTCCGGTGCCCCAGTAAATAAATAATAAAAGGATATGGAAACAATACACCTTGAAAACTCCTGTCCCTTCTCTGTTCTCCTGGACAGGAGCAGAGCTGACAGGCGCATGCTGCCTGGGTTACAGACCCAGAGCACACTTATTTATCTAATAACACTGGAGTACTTTTCAAACAATCAGTGAGGACATTTCAAAGAGCTGAAACAGGTCTCCATATTTATGAGTATATCCCACTTTTTTACCCCAATCTCCAGCACTAACTCCTAAGACAAGATACCCTGACCCGTGGACTGGATAGAAGCTAGAAATAAGAATTTGGGGGTGCTTACACCACACCATTTTTCTTTTTCCCCTGATAGGAAGGCTCTTGAGAATACTTACCCACAGGAAAAATGGGAACAATTCACACTGATTTTGATTCTTACCAAACTAGTCCCTGTTTTTTAAAAAATACTTTAATTCATATAGGTTCTGTTTCACAACTATAGCCATAACCTTGCTTGCACACACAATTCCACATTTTTTCTTAAACATATGCAACGCTACCATCACAAGCAACCTGAACAACAAATATGTACAGAACAAACACTAATGTTTACTGATAAACAAAAACAAAAAGCAAACAAACAGAAAAAAAGCTAAGAAGTTAAAATAATAATCCAGGATCACAACATTTCAGAGCTAGAGGGGGCTTTGGTGAATGAGAAAGAGGTTAAGGGCTTGCTTGCACTAGGGCAGACAACTGGTAGCAAAGACAGGGCTAGAAAAATAAAATGATGCATTGCTGTCCCCTCTGCAGCCGACCTGGGAACAAGTCACACTTCTTCAGCCAGCATTACTGCACCTGACTGAACAGGCTTATGCCGTGGTTTGTCTGGGCTGCCCAGGGCAATGGGCTGTACTGGATGGTATCTGTCAGACTCTTTTCTTAGGCTTGGGATTATCTGATTATTTGATTTGACTATTTAATATCTGTCTTCTCAGCCAGACGGTAAGTTGTACAAGGCCAGTGAGACCTCCCTGTGGTGCAGAGCAGACTAGGGAAGGAGTCGATATTTAGAGATCAAGACACTTTTTCTTGGATGTCAACTTTTCACAGGACAGGCCTTGAGATTTGATAATACTTGATTTAACATGATTTTACTCCCCTTCCTTCTTCCCTGAAAGCAGAGCTGGTCACTGTCACCCAATTTTACAGAAGAGAAAGCCAAAGATTAATTTTCTTTTTCAAAGACTGAGCTGCAAACTACTTGGTGACTAGGACCGCCTATATGTGTGTCAGTCCAGTATCCCACGTGTGGTGAAATATTACTAACAATGGATTCCTATTACTCTTAGGCAACTGGTAGGTGAATAGCAACGGGACACAGAAAACTCAATTTTTAGCCCATGGCACCAATCTGCAGATTAGAAATACTCAAAGCATGTTCACTAGAACTCCTAAATTATACATTTTCCATACAAATCCATTAGAAAAGACAGTAGCAGCAGCCATATTTCCATTCCACCAAGAAGAAAAAGAGCACACGTCCACAGGCCCTGAAAATCTGAAGCCATGGTAAGGAGGCAGCCAGAGGCTCTGGGCCTGAGTCCTAGCAATACAGTTCTGTATATGTACAGAGGAGGACCATATCCTTGTCTACTTCATAGGGACTTTTTAATTTAATTTAATTTATTTAATTTAATTTAATTAATTTTATTTTATTATTTTATTTTATTTTATTTTATTTTATTTTATTTTTATTTATTTATTTTATTTATCTTGGCAACTGGCCAGTACAGGGTTGTTGTTGTTTTTTTATTTTAAGCAAGTGAAAACACCTATTGAACAACAGATTTTCATCTGCAACAAGACAAGGGATTATTATTTGAAAACTACCTAATAAATAGCAAATCTATTAGGCATTATATTACACTGGAATAGTAGAGTAGTTAATGATGAGATCAAAAGTTCAAAACATGAAGGGAAAGTTACAAAATATGTGTAATGTGGTTTTACTTTTACTACTATATGTACACACAAACAATGTTTATGTGTTGAAAAAACTGTATGTACATACTGCAAATACAGTATAACAGCAGTTACCTTTGGATGGCATAATTATGGGTGATCTGTATTTTCTTTTTCATGCTATTCTATAATCTATAAATGTTTTCCAGTGATTATACACCAGATTTGTAATCATTTTTTCTAATGTGATTTTTAAGACTACAATAGTCTCATACACTCTTGGTGGGAGTGTGAACGGGAACAACTTCTTGGAAGGGCGATTGGACCCATCTGTAAAACTGCACTTGCATGCACTCCCTGACCCAGTACTCCCACTTTTAATTACTCCACTCCTACACATGCACACAGAAATACGAAAAGGACAGTCATGACGGCACTGTTTCTAACAGCAAAAGACTGGAAAACTTAAATACTTAAATGTCCAACAATAGGGAAATTCCAGTAAAGAAAAGTACACCTATTGAAGGTAATACAGCCAGTAAAAAGAACCTGCATTGTGGACTGAAATGAAACTATGTCTAAGATACGCTATTAAATGAAAAAACCAAGATGCAAAATATATGCTATCGTTTGTATAAAATTATTTTTAAGACTATATTCGTATTTACTTGCCCATGTATTGACTATCTCTGGAAGACTCACCTAGACTTGTAATAAAATTGCCTTAAAAGGGAGGAAATGAGGGCCGGCCCGTGGCTCACTTGGGAGAGTGCGGTGCTGATAACACCAAGGTCACCGGTTCGATCCCTATATAGGGATGGCCGGTGAGCTCACTGGGTGAGCGTGGTGCTGACAACACCAAGTCAAGGGTTAAGATCCCCTTATCGGTCATCTTTTTAAAAAAAGGCGGGGGTGGAAATGGGGAGTCTAGGAAACAGGAAAGAGGACGTGTCCGGCAACGGATTGCAACCCTCAGTGTCGCGCCCGTACCGGACCTGGACCGGCAACGAGATCACAACCCTTGGTGTTGCTCCCACACCTCGCTCAGCCAGTGAGCAGGAACCGGTCTGTATGTGGGATCCGAACCCTCGGCAGGAGCGCCACCACGCTCCCAAGCGGCGCACTGTAGCAGTGCGCCACCGGGCCGGCCCCAAGTTGAGTTATTTCTAAGAGCCTTTCTTCTCCAAGATAGTCCAACAATCCCTCCCGCTATTTTTTGCTGGTATGAATGATGATCTTGCTGGGGAACGGGCAGCTTTTCCTTCCACCCCATCATTCGTGGAGATCCTTTTCTTTCAGATTACTTATGAACTGTTTCTTAAAGTGGAAATTATTAGTGTCCAAAATTGCATTTAAAAGTTTTTTCACAGAATTGTGTAACACCACCAATCCAACATTACAAAGTAATTAGGAAATGATGAAGCCTGAGCCTCTCTACTGAGCGAAGCTGCTTCTTTTCAAGCAATTTAATTGTAAGCAACTTTTGGCAGGCAGGGACCATGTCTTTTTTCTTTGTACCCTCCGGAGTCTAGCACAGTGTCTCCACGCGGTAAATGATGAGGGGATGCTGAATTGACTAACCTCACAGTGTCTGACCCAGGACAAACAGTAGCAGGCTTTCAAAGGTGGCAAGATATGGCTGCAGAACTCTTGGCAGCCACTTAGCAGCTCAACAACCCTCAAGTAGTTACTGAGCCTCTCTCAGCCTGCCCCGATCTAGTAGGTGGGAGTTGTGAAGCTTCCAGATGATGCTTTAAAGTACATGGCTACCAGCACATTGCTCGGTAAATGCTAGCAAACGGAGTAGCATCACCTACTCCTAAATGGAGTAGCTAACGGTGCAGCTATTTTGGCAGAGGGGCAAACTGAAGTTTAAAACTGAAGTTTAAAAGTTTTCTAGGACAGTGGACACTGGGCTCAAAGGGCCATCTCCCCAGCACCCACAATGCATTTACACCTGCATGGTCTGGAAGCATGCTTTAGCTTCCTCATCTTCTTCTCAGAAACCTGCAGTCTTAAGCACCACAAAAAGTCCACTCTTCTTAAAGTCAAAGGACCATACCCATCTTGCTCCTCTTTAATGTTTGTTTCATTTTAATTCTGCTCTCCACCACCAGAGCCCTCTGACGCTTGTGCACTACCCAAACCTCCTTCTGCCACTTGCCCAATCGTCACTAGTTCTGTCCCCTCCAGCAGAACCAGAGGGATCCTAGGGCCAGCCCGTGGCTCACTTGGGAGAGTGTGGTGCTGATAACACCAAGGCCACGGGTTCGGGTCCTATATAGGGATGGCAGGATCGCTCACTGGCTGAGCGTGGTGCTGATAACACTAAGCCAAGGGTTAAGATCCCCTTACTGGTCATCCTTTTTTAAAAAAAAAAAAAAAAAAAAGAACCAGAGGGATCTGGATCTCCTCCCCTGCCCCCAGGTCAAGAGTACAATCAAGGCTGTAGCCCTCCAAGCCTGCACATCTAAACTATATCAGTCTTCTTAGATGTCACAGACAAAGCAGGAAGAACCTGAGGACACTCATGAGTGTGTACAATGCCCTTCCCACTTTTTGAAGCATTGAACGCTGCTACCCACAACCTTCTCCCCCTGTTCATTCTCTTCTGTGGCTCCATGTCCACAGGTACTACAATTAATTGGGGGCTATGGTGTGAAGTCCCATTGAGACCAACAGCTCCCCCGTCCACCCTCAACCTCAGGATTGCTCTCAGCATTCCCGCCTTTGCCCTTATTTTCTTCTTGGGGCAGCCATCTCCGTCTCCCTCCCCGCCCCTGCCCTCCCTCACCAACCCATCACCTCCTTCCTCCTCCCCAGGAATTTTACCTTGAAGTCAGGAATAGCAAATTTGGTATTGTAAGAGAGGTTGGACTTGGAGGTTACAGTATTCATTCTCTCCAGAGCTTGTAAATTTTCCTTATCGCCAGGGGCAGAAATTAACCAAAACTCCGACATGCTTGCGGTCTTCTCTAATCCAGTTACTGCCCGGAACCAACACAAACAGAAACAGGACGAGAGACATGTCACATAGCTGTACCTCTTCACCACTCCCTTCCCTCCGAATTAATCTGCTCTAGGATCGGTCACTCTTTTCCCATTCCTTGCTTCACTGACCTTTCAGTTCAGATTCTAGAGCTCCAAGGACACCCATTTGCACAGAGCAATGTGCTTATCTCACCGGGGAAGCCCTGAGGTCTTCACAAGACTCCAAAGCCCCTCAGTCCCTCCTTGGTTCCGACTGGCCTTTAGGAGCCGAGGAGGGGCGGTTGCTTTCACTCTCCCCACTCCAGTGCAGAGCCCCCACCTGACATCATAAGATGGGGGCACAGCGGCTGCACGTGGACACCCCCTGGGAGGATATTTCCTTCCACCCTGCATCCTCTGGGATGCAGGATGGGGTGGAGGAACAGACAAGGGAGGGTTTTTCACAAGGGGCCACCAAGTCAAACCCCAGATCTTCAGTGCCCAACCTCGAGATTGGTATTACCTTTAAAATTAGACTTCAAGAGGACACTTCTTTCTTTAAATAAGGGGGAAAGGCGGGGGGGGGGGGGTCCTAGACTCTTTTTCCCACTAACCCAGGTGTCTTCTCGGCGGAGCGGGGTGACTTGCGGGGCCTGGCGGGCAGTTCCAGTGCAGCGTCCCCGGCCTCTGGAGTCATTCGTTCTGCTCATTCAAACGTGCCCACGCCCACACCTTCCCCGCCGCTCTGTCCCTTCTCACTGTCTCCCCAGGGCGCCTCCGGACAGCTGGGGGGGAGCCCGACGATAACCTCCCAGCAGCAAGCGACCGCTCTTGGAACCTTTCCCTTTTTGACTCCCAGTCTCACTCCCGTCCCAGGTCACCTTAGTCCCTCCTAAACCTGCACAGATCAAACGCAGTTCCTTTCCGACTTGCCTGCCGGTGGCCTGGGGACACCCTGGCTCTG